GTTAAACCTAGCATCCTACTACTGCCAGTACCACTAAATTCAGCAGATCATAATCTACAGCAGAAACTTTGTTCTTCAATGAATGAAAGAGAGCATGACATGGCTATGCTATGTCCTAAATTCTCAGTGTCTTGAATCTAATCCTAAAGCAGGTTAGTGTGTCCATTAGTTTATTCATCTGCTTCTTTCAAAGTCGATTGCAGCCCCACCCATGCACAGTATCAAATCATTGGAATTTTTACAGCACAGAATCATGTAACTAGAGACCATGGATAGAACAGCAGCATTTTCTAATAACACATTGATTGATTTCACCTGTTTCCTGGGGGTTACTAGATAATATGGAGTTTGTTTGATGGTCAGATAAGGCTGGAGGTGGTTTTTGTAGATTTAAGTTTGATTATTTTGCTTTTAAGATAAAACTGTTTTCTTTTTCTTACTCTTTATTTGAACTTATTTGAAGTTCATTTCTAAACATATTTGTTTTTCAGTAATACAAAGCAAATAAAATTATTATTTTCAAACATTATTGGGTAGGAGAAGGGTAAGCATTATGGTTCACACTGTGTTTCCAGGCAACAAGAGAAAACATTCCTAGCTAAGCTTCCTGAGCGAATAAACCTATCCAGTAAACTCAACTGCGCCGAGACAAAAAAATATGAAACTGAATTTATTTTAGTATGAGTTGTGTAATTTCCTGCAGAATGAGCACACAAAGCTCTAAACTGGGTCAGCAGGTATACTACCTGAAGCCTCTAACATGTAACTTCCTCTCCCTCTGTCTGGAACATTAATCACATTTATAATTTCAAGGCAGGATTGAATCTAAATATTGGGAAAGGAGAAGCAGCACAATAAGCTAATAGGTGAAGTCCAGTGCAGGAAACATGCTGAGAGGAGAAAAGAGCAGAGTGATGAAGAGATTATCTCATTGGTGTCTGTGGTATCTTTTCAAACTCTAGTAAATTGCATGAATGATTGGACAGGAAATACAAATACTTTGGCAGGTAAAATAACACTAATATAGGTATATCATCTGTGTAGTTAGTTGTTTGCCTGGAATTCAACTTTAAGGAATGTAATTATGGACAACAATGATGATAGTTGAACAATGATAATCGAGGGAGAGAATCATGATTTTAACCGCCTCCCACCCAGGCTATAGAGAAATGATGGCTGAACGAGAGTGCTGCTATCATGGGTGGAAATCATATGACATCCTCTCAGGATTGTGCCTCACAAATGTCCTACAAGTCATTTTGTCACCCACTGTGTCCACCAGCTGCTGGTACCATGTGATTGTTGTGACCAACCACAGATCAATTGAACACAATGAATGGCTTATAGCAATTCATTGTGTACTATTGTGCTGATCTTTGTGTGTCAGAGCCTGAGTCTGAACCCAGGACTTCTGTGGTGTTTGGCAATGTTTCTTCTTGCTGAGCCACCTGGAATGCTGGACAATTATTTGAATGATCCTGCCTTGACCTTGTTTGTCATCGACCTTGAATCCTTTGCTCCTCCCATGAACTTCCTGATATAAGCCATGTCTCTGCACTTCCTGTTTGCCAGATTATTGTGCTACCTTCAGCCAGTATTTTACTCCTTGCCTTCTCTGCTGTAATCCATGTTTTGCTACCACTCATTATTGACTCTTGGCCTGTTCATTGGCTGTGCTTCTGCCTGATCCCAACCTGTGACTGCTCATTATCGACCTTTGGCTTGTTTACTGACTATGTTTCTGTTTGATCCTTACCTGCTTAATACGCTGCTGGACCTCTGCTTGCTCACCTCCTGGTGGGGTGATCCTGAGGACCGCAACCTGGTGCTAACTTGCAGCAAAATCTATCTCCACCATCAAGAGCTCTGGTGAACACCAGTTAGTACTTAGACTTTGCACCTCAGGTGAGCCCACTCCTCTGCCACGGTGACCTGCCTGTGTACCTATCCTACTGGTTTCGGTGTGAACCTTTCCACTGCTATAGCAGCTGGTCTTTGAGCCTGATCCCTGATCATGACACTGTGATTGGTCATAGTGATCACAAGGTACAGAGGCCGATCTGTACCATGTGATTAGCTGTGGCCAATCACAGCTGATCACAATAGTATACACTGAATGAATGAAAAAAAACTACTTTTTTTATATAATGTCAGCAGTCAGGGTCTCTGATCACCGCCACAGTATATGATGATGGTGTACTGCACTGGTGACAGTATGTAAATTTTCTTTTAAAAAAAAACGAATTAAAAAAAAAAATCTTCATTTTCCAAAAAACTTTCCAAAAAGGGGTCATGGGGGGGGGGGAGGTATTTGTACTGTCCTGGCATTTTTGAGTCTTAAGAAATGAGATTGGCTGTCAGTAAACTAGGATTGATCGATTTTCAGATATGTATAACATAGTTTGTGGACTCTATAATCTTCCTACATACTAAATAGTATACACTGATTTGGAATATTTTCACCAAAGAAATGTAGCAGTATACAAGCTGGCCTAAATTTATGAAGAACGATTATTTATTTGCAAAGAATTATAACAGAAACAAAGAATAATTTGTTTTATTTTTTTATGTATTTAATTTTTTTGTCATTTATTTAGAAAAAAAAACTCAGTGGTGATTAAATACAACCAAAAGAAAGCTCTATTTGTGTGAAAACAATGATAAAAATGTAATTTGGGCACAGTGCTGCATGAATGAGTATTTGTCATTCAACGTGTGACAGCGCTGAAACCTGAAAATTGGCCTGGGCAGGAAGAGGGTGAGAGTGTCCAGTATTGAGGTGGTTATCATAGAAGTACTGAAAGTAATAAAACAGGAAAAATGGGAATGTAGAGTTTTCAAAGAATAATATATTTCAGTAAATATAACTGATAACTATAAGATTAAAATCGATATTCAAACCTAAATTGAACTGTAAATGTGATTTTTCAAAGGACACGACTTCTGTCATGGGACAGAAAAAAAAAGGAATTATCCCGAGCCAAATAAAAGAGTTTGAATGGGATTTCTGATTGCTGACTGTGGGAAAATCATAATTCTTGGGCCTTGAACTGTCCATTATTTAATGTTGGCCATACTAATTTATTTCTGTGACTTTCATTTAGCTTCAATGCCCTACATACCTAAGGAACCTACAACAGTATAAATAATTGCACAATCCTGAGACTGTCAGTGATCATTGTCAATGTGGTAGGTCATTATTTGAAGTGGTATTACACCCAAAACCAAAAATATAATACTCTATACGGCAGCTTATCAATCATTAGATGTGGTGGTTTCGTCAGTATTCTTAAACCGTTACTAAACCCAGGATCCCGCATTCACTATATCCGGTCTTCCAAAGTACACAAAACATGAAAATGCAATTATTTTAGTAAATATAAACTGCTAAATACCTTTTCTCATCAGCAGTATATAGCAGTCTTTTGACTTCTACCAGTGTTCAGGAGAGCACTGGTTAAAGCTTGTAGGAAGAGTTTTATTTCTGCTCTAGGAGGATGCAGAACCCTTGACATCTGTCTGGACAGTGCCGATTGGCCCTGTGCTGATCACATGCACTCTCGCAAGAAAAAAACCTCTTTAGTAATACACACCAAAACTGAACATGTGCAGAATGTCTTCACATGATATGTCTTATCAGGAGATAAAAGGGGGACACTGGAAAAAGGGGAGGATCAGAGAAGTCAGGATCAAACAGCATTTTTACACAATGCAGAGGATTAACCCTTTTGGTTCCACAGTGAGTATAGGAAGCATGCTTTACTGAATATACAGATTTTACTGTTGTGGGTTTAGTGACAGTTTAGTTTTTTTCCCTCTGTGTTCTTCTGGTTATCTGGCCAGTAGCATCCCTCCCCCGTGTTAGAGTACCCTCACTCTGGAGGAAGGAGCACAAGGCACACCTTTGGACAGCAGCATTGATAGTCTGGGAGGAGGGGGTGTTAGATGTACACTTGATAAGCAGTCACAGCAAACAGCTTTTTTATCCTTTTGGGATAAATATTTTGCCAAATAAATAAAAGCCAATCATTGTAAAAATCCCTGCTGGTGTTAAATGGTTTGTCCCATCTTAAAACTTATACTTATTGCTGGAGAGCTTGTTCTTTTGAAAAACAACAGACTTACTGGCTGGATCACCAGATGAAAATGGAAGAAAGAAAACCTTAAACAACAAAATAAATGCAGCCATCATATCAAGGAAATAGTAAGCTACAATATAATAAACCTGTGCTTTTGAGCTTAATGCCACTTTAAAATTCTTCAGTGTAGCAGTAGCTTAATGAATACTGAGCACTGAGTCACACCAAGGTGGTCCGTTGAGGTGCATTTATGTGCATTATGTTGTAAATGAATGTATATGAATGAACAATCAGCACAATACTAATCTTAGTATGAATATAACAATCAATGTGATAGAAAATGCAATTCTTGAATGCCGTTAAACATCAACATAGCTTTCTACTACACTATACATACTCAAAAATAGCACAATGATGTATCACAAGCAAAATAAATACAAAATATTAAGGCTACTTTCACACTGATCTGCCGCAAAAGCACAGCAAAAATGCATAGGCATTTTTACCGCACTTTTACCATGCTTTCTGAGCATTTTAAAAGACACTTGACTTAAAAACCGCACCAAAAACACTTCCCGTAGGCATTTTTGAGGTGCTCTTCAGGAGCTTTTCTGGCGTTTTCCATTGATTTCAATGGGAAGAGGCATTTTTGGGACTTTTTTTAACTCATCAAACATGCCCCAAAGATGCAGCAAGTTTTTACACAGCACTGCAAGCGCAACTCCTCAGTATGAAAACATACATAGACATACGTTCACATACATAGGGAAGCATTTTTCTTGAGCTTTTCAGGGGCTTCTTTTTTAACTCAAAAATGCTTCAAAAAACTCCTCAGTGTGAAAGTAGCCCAAAGTACAAAAATAAATAAAAATTAAAACTTTTGATGATCAATAGTCCACAACCACTGTGTTACACATGTAAATATTTCTACAAACCCCCCAAAATGTAATGCTGTGTCTCCAGCCACCCAGTGCAATATATCTTCTCACCTCCAAATGTGGACCTCAATACAGGGGCGGACTGACAACTCATGGGGCCCCCGGGCAATAGGGGATCATGAGGCCCCTGTGTCCTTGCCCAAACTCAAAAAAGCCTATGAAAAAAGGTACCAGGGACATCTCATGGGGCCCCCTACTGACCCCGGGCCCTCGGGCAGTGTCCAAGTTTCCAAATGGTCAGTCCACCCCTGCCCCAATATCATATCAAGGTCATAAAAATTAAAATCATCAGCACCAAGGACATGTCTCCCCCAGCATGCTTCTGTGTTCTTCTCCTCCTCCAGCAGTTGCAGACAGGAGGAGGAGAATACAGAAGCATGCTGGAGGGGGCATCCCCTTGGTGTTGATGATTTATGTTTTTACGACCTTGATATGATATTGGGGTCCACATTTGGTGGTGAGCAGATATATTACACTAGGTGGCTGGAGACACAGCACTAAATGTTGGGAAGATTATAGAAATCTTCACTTATGTAAGACGATTGTGACAGACTATTGATCATAATTTTGGGTTTTTTATTTATGTTTGTACTTTTTAAAAATAATTTTAAATTTATTTTGTTTGTGCATTTTCATTGTGGTATTTTTGAGCAAATTACTGTGTGTTGTGTTAAGGCAGGCTATTAGTGTGAAAAGGCTACCGACAAATTACAATGGACCAAAAAAAAAAAAAAATATCGACATCCACTATTTTTTAAGAGGCAGCACACCACAGTACATGGGAGAGTGTTACCTACACATTGCGATGTGCTCCAATGCATTGTGCACTGCAGTATAACATACATAAAGCACCACAATGCATAGGTGTGGACAGGCTTTTGAAATATTTTAAGTATAGTTAAATAAGGCTTAAAGTGTTACTAAACCCAGGACCCTGCATTCACTATATCTGGTCTCCCACAGTACACACAACATGGAAATGCAATTATTTTAATAATTATAAATACCTTTTCTCATCAGAGCAAGGGCGGACTGACAACTCATGGGGCCCCCGGGCAATAGGGGATCATGGGGCCCCTGTGTCCTTGCCCAAACTCAAAAGCCTATGAAAAAGGTACCAGGGGCATCTCATGGGGCCTCCTACTGACCCCGGGGCCTCGGGCAGTGCCAGAGTTTCCAAATGGTCAGTCCGCCTCTGCATCAGAGGTTAGAGCAGTCTTGTGGCTTCTGTTTAGTGTCCAGCCCAGTGCTAGCTAAAGCCTGTAGGAGGAGTTTTCTTTCTGCTCTAGGAGGATGCAAAACCCCTGACCTCTGTCTGACCAGTGCTGATTGGCCCTGTGCTGATAACATGCACTTTCCCAAGAAAAAAAAAACCTCTCTAGCAATATACACCAAGCTGAGCATGTGCAAATGCCTACGGTTCAGTCTGTCTAATCAGGAGATAAGAGGTGGTCACTTTAAAAAAGGGGAGGAACAGCGAAGACAGGATCAAATGGCCTTTTTACACAATGCATAGGATTAACCCCTTAGGTTCCATAGTGAGTATAACAAGCATGCTTTACTGCATATACAGACTGATTTTACTGTTGTAGGTTTAGTAACACTTTAAGTTCTACTTTTATTACTGTTTAGCTAAACAGTACAACACTTGGTTAATCAGTAACCAAAAGCTAGATTGATCAAATCTAACAGATTTTATTTTCAATTTGTTTAGAGAGATTCCCTATACATGCCACAGATACCAGACAATCCTAATCAGAGATTTTACAAATTCTACAATTTGCTAAGCCTGCCTTCATCACAGTTGGAAAAAGGAAAGGAGATGGTAAGCAGAATCTGACGTTTCTCATTGGATGAGTTGGAGGATGACATAGGTCTCCTCATTCTTCATTTTCTAAGAGACATCTTACCATGTATTGCCTTTCTTACATGTAGAACGAAATAGGTGCATGTTCACAGGCAGCAGTTCAACTCCCTTGTTGTAAACACCATTAATTATTTTCAATATTAGATTATATCTGAAGGTAATCACACAATTAAATTTTTAACATCAAGATGCAGGTTAAGTAAGATTAGTCTACAGTGCTGGACAAAAGGACATAGGATTAATGATGCCTACTGTTCTAGTGCAGCAGGAGGGAGGGTGAGGCTCCAAGCAATCAGGCAACTGAGAGATTAATGATTATAACAATGTATTTTATTTATTTATTTCTATTTTTTTCTACTAAAATTTTTCCCCTTCCCGTAAACAATGCATCCAACAGAACATAGCAACAAGAATCAGTGCCAGAACTTTTTATTTATAGAAGCAATTCTTTCAAACAAAATGTACAATCTGGAGCTCAAATACATTATAAACTTAGAAATGTAATATAGCTAGAGACAAAAACCAGAAGCTACATGACAAGATCACCTTGATGATATCCCTGAGAACAAGTCTATTTCTCAGAAGTGTAATAGAAGCCTCAAAAGACAATAGACAGTTGTCAATCACAGTTCAATGGTTGAAGGATCTGACAACCGTATACACATACATGCTTATAGCTCTTCATCATCAATGTGCTGTGAAAATCAAGGCATAGCACTGCTTTTACATATAGGCTGAAATGGGAAAACAAGCCTATTGGCTGATTATTAACTAGTTGTGGACACTGGACATGCTACACATGTCCAAAAAACATATGTGAAACACAGAGGACATGTCGATGGATCCCGTTTTTTTTTTTTTTTTTTTTTTTTTTGCGTGCTTCTGCTCCATCCTCACACTTGTCACTTGTCAGCAATTCTCAGGTGTCAAATTGTCAGCTTGGAGTTGCTGTGTAAACACAGCAGATGTAATAGAAGCTCAAATGTATCAACAGCATTGGGGATGATTTACTAAAGGTAAAAATACTGTGCACTTCAACTGCTCTGCAAGTGCAGTTGCTTTATATCCGAGTGGAAGCTCTGAAATGAGGGAAAGCTCTGCTGATTTCTTTCTTCCAATCATGTGCAAGCAAAAAAATGCAGTTTTTTTTATTTTCCTTGCATGTTCCCCTCAGATCCCAAGCAACTGCACTTGTAGTGCACAGCCTATTTGTCTTTAGCAAATCAACCCCATACTGTAGGTGTGAACAGGTTTTGAACTGTTTTAAATATATTTTTGTTTTACTTTCAAATCTGACAAAGTGGAGTAGATTTACCAAAACTGGTGCACTCAGAATCTGGTGCAGATGTGCATGGTAGCCAGCCAGCTTCTGACTTCAGCTTCTTCAATTAAGCTTTGGTAATAAAAACTGGAAGCTGATTGATTTCTATGAAAAGTTGCACCAGATTTTTCATGCTCCATTTTTATTAAAAAAAAAAGAAGAATGTTTATAAGGACTTCAGGGGTTCTAGAGGGAGAGATAGAAAGTAACACTGTTATTTTTGTATCTACTCTGTTTCAATCATCTGCAAGCCAAAGGTAGGAGTTTTGATCTGCATTGGATATTAGTTAAAGCAGCCTGAAAAGTTAAGAAAACTGTTTTTAATTTGTTTGTGTTAAAACCCATATTAAATACTAGTTTGCCTTAATACGCACTTCTTAATGCATTCTTCCCCTTCTCCCCTTTTATTATTTTCTGATAATCTTTTATTTCTACTTTTCTAACCATTAATATTTAAACATTTTTATTGTTCTTTGCTTTGTTCATCAATTTATTAAAGAGAGTACAGCCAAAGCTTGTTTGGCTTTCCTACTCTTTTGGATCCCAGGAGTGCAGTTTGTTCTGCACTCCTGTGTCCCATCTTCAGCAGGCAGGGAGCTAAAGCCTGCTGACGGCTGACGTCACAGAGTCGGTCCAGGCTTGGGAAAGATCATGACTATATAGTTAGGATCCACCCAGGATCCTGGACAGGCACCTGACTCAAACATCCCAGCGAACTCCCGCCCCCTCCACAGTCTAGCGCTCTAGTGAGCGCTGGGGAGAACTGAGCAGTAAGCTGTGTTTGATTGCTCAGTTCTCAGCCTTAGAGCTGGCGGGGGACAGATGCAACACTGTATTGATGCTGTGTCTACCTAGGTAGGTGGATTTAAAAAAAAAATTCCATACTTCTCTTTTACAGGATAAGTTCACCTTTTATAACATGTTACACCCATATTCAGAGTGCAACATATACCATGTTGTTACAATTGAAAGAGCCCCCAAACCCCCATTGTGACAGCTAGTGGAGACCTTCTCCTCTCTGCTAGCTGTCACAATTAAAAAAAAAAAAAAAACCTCATTCATTTAGTATTCTGTGAATGGGAAAACTACATATTCCGACAGCCTGTGCTTTCAGCTTGTAGTTTTTAGTAAACTACCACGGCACTCCATAGCGCAGTGGTTGTTCATTGAGCCTTCCTGTCAGTAAGTATCTGCTTTCCTGTATGGGATGTACGAGAAAGCAGATATACTGACAGGTAAGAGGGAGACCTGCGTGACACCAGAAGTCTGCAGATCATTGGTGCAATTCTTTAGAGGTTCCACAAACTAAAAATAATAAATACACTTTTTTTTTACCTGCAAAAAAATGTCCATTTATTATTTTTTGTTAAAAGTTGAACCTATTCACTTTCTACCCCATCTCTACGAATTCCCAACTTAATTCAAATATGGCCCAACTATACTACCTTATCTTATGGCCCCCCCCCCCATCTTCTCCATCACTACTAACAACGCCACCATCTCTCTTACCCCACACGCCAAAGTCCTGGGTGTCACCCTGGACTCCCACCTCTCCTTCCTACCCCACATCCAACTGCTATCTATATCTTGCAGGTTCCACCTCCGCAACATCTCCAAGATACGCACATTCCTCACCCCAGACACCACCAAACAACTCGTACACTCCCTCATCATCTCACGCCTGGACTACTGCAACTCCCTTCTCACTGGCCTACCCAAAACGAACGCTATCCTAACTCCAGTCGATCCTAAACTCAGTGGCTAGACTCATCCACCTCACCAACCGCTCCACATCTGCCTCCCCCTTCTGCCAATCCCTTCATTGGCTCCTGATTGCCCAACGCATCAAATTCAAACTGCTAACTCTGACCTACAAGGCCATTCACAACGCCGCCCCAAACTACATAACCGACTTGATACCCAAATACTACCCTACCTGTGCCCTCGGCTCCTCACAGGACCTCCTGCTCTCTAGCTCCCTGGTCTCCTCCTCCCACGCCCAATTTCAGGACTTCTCTAGGACTTCCCCCATCCTCTGGATCTCCGTACCCCAATCCATCAGACTGTCACCTACCCTCCTCACCTTCAGGCACACCCTGAAATCCCTCCTCTTCAGGGAAGCCTACCCCAACCTCACCTAACACCTGACCTCACCTAACAACTAACCTCCTCCACTCCTCCCACCACTCCATCCCCCACAGCCATCTCCTCCTGTACCACCTTCCCCTCCCTCCTAGATTGTAAGCTCGAAAGAGCAGGGCCCTCGAACCCCTCATGTATTGTATTGTTACTGTCTTGTCTCATGTTCTGTCCCCCTTGCTACTGTACAGGGCTGAGCATACCCTTTGGCGCTATATACTGTATAATAATAATAATCTATAGATGACTTATTTACACAAAATCAACTCAAACCTTTCTCATAATTAAGGTCAGATCTGGGCATACCAAGCAAAACTCATCAATATATCCAAATTGCACACTGTCTAAGGCTAGGTTCACACCTATGCTGTTTGCATTTGATCAGTTTCTGCAGTGCGTTTTGCGATGTGTTTTGCGTTTATGCATGTGCATTTTTGCAACATGTTTGCCGTGTTTTTGATGCGCTTTACATTTTTTTCTTTTTTTTTTTTTTACTTGTTGCTGGGCAGATTAAAACTAAAAAAAATGCATCAATAGCGCATCAAATAAAATGCATCAATAACGCATCAAAAATGCATAAAAAACCACTACATGCTTTTCTGAAGCATCTCCATTGAAGTCTTTAGAACCAAAAAATGCAATGTATTGCATTTAAAAATGTCCCTGACAAAAGTCCCTGAAAAAACACACTGGGTGACAAAGTGGAGATGCGAACCTATCCCATAGGAAATCATGTTAAATGGACTACTGTGCATTTCTACAAAACGCTGCGGAAAACACATAGGTGTGAACCTAGACTTAAACATAATCCCCAGCTACGTGCATTTATGCATAAAACCATTATCTCATACTACTCACCTAACTCAAAGGGCAC